AGACTCTCTGCTGAATAATATCGTTGGTGAGGCTTCATATTGGGATGTGTTGTACTTCTGAAAGTATACTTCATAACGAAATCTGTACCTTATGAAGACAAAAGGCAAAAACCTTTTTACAGAGTAAAATACTTCTGGAAGTGCCTATGGCAATGAACCACAATGTAGATTATTCTTTTGTGCTGCTTACACAGGCTCCTTTCTCCTTCAGCAGTTTGACAAAAATATATTTCACAGTATTTTGGACTATGACAAAGTCAAACTAATTCAATGAATGTTAGTTGTAAAATAAATTAATGTTCAGCGACCAGAGGACATGTTATTAAAAGTGTTTAATTAGGTTGTGTAGATATGATTTAATTGCCAATATTTTGTTAAATCCTGTTAGATCGAAAAGAAATTCACGCAGAAGATAAAAACTGTTACTTCTCCCAAAACCTTTCACCATCTTATATTGGCAACAGTAGATACTATATAGCAGCTTGATATGTACAACAGCTTCAAGGACTGACTGCACAGTAATTCAAAGTATCAGTACATGATTGTACAACTTCCTCAGGTTGTTCATATGTGGAAACAGTTGTCCTAAGTATAAAATACATTCTCCTTTTCCTAAAACAACCTTGCTGCTTACACTATCAACGCAAGGAAATCATACTGCTTGTTGCCTCTGAATGGCAGCAGAAATCACATTAGTACCTGGCCAGAAATACTGACTGATACTGTCTACATACCAAAAGACAAAAGAAAATGAGGCACTTTTATGTGTCAAAGAAACTTCTCATTTCTGCCTTTGTCTTTTGTCAGTTACCTTAAATCGGTTTCCCAAGGTTTTCGATCCTTTCACAAACGGAGCACTTTCTCCCGAGCTATTCTGTCTAGAATACTGATGTTTTTGAATACACTATCAAAACACCTACCCACGTAAGTTAGAGAAGACACAGTATCGCCACCCTCTGAATAAGGCTGCGAGTAAATACCGATGGATCTTTCCTATAGGCTGCCCAGAATAATCTCCAAGGAAAGATGGGAGGACTGTCCCCTCACTGTCGACCCACAGTGATATCTGACTGAATTTAGATGCTTTCTCACTAGGTTTCAAACAAAAATGTAAATATATTAAGCTCACATTAAGTATACCCCTTAAGAAAATGCTTTTCTGACTAGATCTTAAATCATCTTCCTTCCCTTGACAAAACTGGGCTCATGAAACTTGAATGAACTAATTGACATGTTTTATGTTTGTGTTTGTCCAGCTACATTTAGCAGTGCCCAAATTTGTTGTGGAGAGCAACAGCAGTGAATCCATGTAAACTATCTACTCCTCACTGTAACCCACCATAGACCAGCTCTTGATACGCTTCCTTCAAATGAGGCTCTTTGTCCTACAAGTTTAAGTTATAAAGAAAACCTGGAGAAACTTGAAATAATCCTTGAACAGATACAAATGAAAAGAGGTGACCATATGAATTTGACTGCGTTTACTTTGCTCATGCCTTAGTGATTGTTATGCACCTTATCTCTCACTGAAATAGTGCCAATGATCCTGTTGCACTCTCTCCTTGACATTTTTGATTTTACCACAGCTTTGAAATGATTGACCACGCCCCCCTTGTCCAATGCTTCTTTATTGTGGTGGTGGTCAGTGAAGTGCCTTTGCTTGGTTGCACCTGTATCTATCCAATCATATCCAAAGAATGTCTGGCAAAGATTGCTCTTCCCACCCATGACCTCTGGAGCTCAGTTGAGCCACTTCTCTCTTGCTCACGCAGCTTCTTTTGACATAATCACTAAAAGACGTGAAGCCAAGTTCTACACGTCTGCGAATGATACCCAGCTCAGTCTCTCCGCACTCTCTCTGTACTGTCAGATTGCTGGTCCAACATCCAGTCCCGGATAACCAACAATTTCATTCAGTGAAATAAATATCGTGGCAAGATCGATAGCTCTGATCTTGTTTGACACAAATAAGCTGCCATTTAAAATAAAACTCAGGACCTGTGTAGTGTTGGCATAGCAATTTATTAGTTTCCCATCCTAACTGGTTCTGCAAAGTTTGTGGCACACCTCCTTCAACCACAACAGTGGTTTTGTACAGCTCAGTAGCTTGCTAGGCCAGTGCAGAGGTTGAATAGGCAACGACATTGGCGTGGGACTCTAGACAAATATAGGTTAGACTAGCACAAAGGTAGAATGCCTTCCCTTAAGTACATCGGGAGAGTTGGGATTTTGTAAAAGTCCCAACAAGGAATCAGTTTTTTTTTAAAGAAGATCAAACTCTTAGTGGTCACTTCTTATTGACACCAGCTTTTTGTTTCTTGACTGACTCAAATTCTTAAACTGTTGTGCTGGGATCTGAACTAACTTTCTCTGATTTAGCAGTCTAATATTGTGACCATGGCAACTGCTGTACATAGAGCGAAAGCAATTTTCAAGATTACATGTCCAAAGTAATGCATTGGCTGTGTTTTGAGAAACACTGAGGATATGAATTAGTGTGATATAAGTGCAAGTTGTTTCTTCGTCTTAACTGTCAGACCTGCTTCCTACCTGGATAGTCATTTGGAGTGAATTTGCATTTGGCCTGTGCATGCTTCGGTTGTGTTTCAAATAGCACAGCTGGTACACATGTGCAACGTTCATTGGATACATGAAAGCTCAGTTTCTCCAATCAAACACAGACAGTGCTGGAAAAGCAGAACAAGAGTCACATTGGACTCAAAATGTTAACTCTGTTTCTCTCTCTACAGATGCTGCCAAAACTGCTGAGTTTCTCCAGAATTCTCTGTGTTTGTTTCAGATTTCTAACATCCATAGTGCTTTAGTTTTTATTTCTTCAATGTTCTGCCACTCTTTTCAGCTATATCCATCACAAAATCTGTGACCTTTATCCTACCTCTTGTAGAAGGTACACAACAGTACTCTGTCCTCTCATTACAATCAGAAGTATTATCCAACCAACCACTGTATTGACACTAAAATCTTCTTCTCATCATCTTATAAACTTATATGCTCTACTTTTGATATATTCTGAAAGCCACAAAGAAAAAAAAAACTGAAAGAAACAAGAACAGCCTTCAATGTAGAAACTAACTTCTCATGGCCCTTGAAAAGAGATGAAAGGAAGGAGGGAAGGTATTTAAAGAGTTATATCTTGAAAGGTCTATGAAGAAAATGTGAGGAAAGAGATACAACAATGTCCACCTTTAGACAAACAGTGAGTCATAGAGTCATACAGCACAGAAACAGACTCTTCGGTCCAACCAGTTCATGCTGAACATAATCCCAAACTAAGCTAGTCCTATCTGCCTGATCCTGGCCCGTATCCCTCCAAAGCTTTCCTATTCATGCACTTATCTAAGTATCTCTTAAACATTGTAACTGTACCCACATCCATCACGTCTTCAAGAAGTTCATTCAACATGTGAACCACGCTCTGTGTAAAAGATTTACCCCTTATGTCTTTTATAAACCTTTCAACTTAAAAATATGTCCCCTAGCCTTGAAATTCCCATCCTTGGGAAAAGACACCGACCATTAACCCTGTCTTTATCCCTCATGATTTTATAAACCTCTGTAAGGTCTCCCCTCAACCTCCTACACGGCTTTGAAGAGGAGGGAAGAGTGATCGTACCTTTCTCGATATCCAGCTCAGTTTTCTGAAAAGCAGATTCTTCCATTGTATCATCAATCACCAAATTCAGTTCATTCTTCCTGCTCGTTGGCTACCCCAAGAACCTGCAATGTTCCTGCATCTTAAGTTAATGTGTAATGTGCAACAGACAGGATAAATTTATTAACAAGTTATTATAAGTTATTAACAAGAGTAATGCTCCTTTAATCATGTTAATTATATATTCTTTGCCTGCATATGAACACTTCCAAATTTTGAAAATATGTGTGCTGAATTTCTGTTGATGATTCTATTTTCCTGTTGTGGAGCTACAGTGACATGGAGTGGCATGCTAGCACAGTAAATTATCTCAGACTCTTATGGCAGGCAGAGGAAGGAAACATTTATTTCAAATATCTGAGTTCAATTTGAACAGATACCCAGGGATGATCCATATTGTTTGTTTTATATTGCCCATTCTATTAATGGTGGTTATTAACTCCCTGGTTTGAGAGGTCTACTTCTCTGGACTGTTTTGTCAGGTATGCAGTGTGATTGTATCATTGCTATTAACAGCAGTGTCCAAGAAAAAAAATCTAGTCTTTTTTTTTCGAAAAAGATCATTTTTTTGGAATTCTGTGTAATATTAGCTGTCATTGATAAAATCTCCAACTGCGAGGATACTTAATACTTATCAAGTATCAGCAATGGCTCAGTCTTTGACATGCTCATCTCTAAGTTAGCAAGTCATGGTTTCAAATGCAATGTGTGAAGAGAGTTGGGGCTAAATCCCATGGTACATTTTGAAGAAGAAAAGGGAAGCCCTTCCAGTGTCCAACTGATATTTATTACTTGACCAATACAAATAAATACGATTATTTTGAGATTTGTTTCTTCTTGTGGAAGCTTGTCTTGTACAAATTGGCTGGAATGTTGTTCTGCATTCCATTCAGGCATAGATGTACTCATCTGTTCTGTTCAGCCATATCTTACTGAATAAGCAAAGCAAGCTAGAATGGCTGAATACCTTATTTGTTATGCTCTCATATTCTTATTGCCACAATGCAATAACATTACTTAATTGTCTGGGAAACATCTTTGGGACTCCTGAGGTTGTGAAAGGCACCAAAATGAATACAAGTTTATTAATTCTTTATCACTTATTAATAAGAATCACCAGCCTACAATGCAAAATAAGCCCATGTGAGGGAAGGGGAAGTAGTTTTGAAATGATCTTGCCAGGGATGTTCTGACAAAATCAAGAAATACCTCTTCCATTAGCATAGGATGGAAATTAACTTATTTGAATACAGCACATTGAAGCATATCAAATAATGAGTTAACTTAGTTAAGTAAATAGGTGATTTAAATCGCATTTATTTTCCAGCTTACTGGCTTAAAAAGTGTCAGCAGCCCCCAGTTGTTCCTTTGGCTGCAATACTGACTGAGAATGAAGACTATGAAATAGGTAAGTGCAGTAACATTGATTCATTTGTTTCACAAATAGTTATTGTGCATCAACTCATGTTTCGCTAAATTAGGGTTCCTAATTTGATGCTGGCAGCCTAATGTGCTCACATGTTTTGAAATTCTATATGTTGTGGCATGAAGTTAGGTCTGTTAGATTTGTTACTGATTTTTAAACACCTAATTTCTGGTGCTAAGGGTTCCAAAGGATCAAATATTTTTCTCCCAATGCATACAATCTTTGTATCACAGGCTTTTAAAAAAAGACAATATGACTAGCTTCCTACTTTTTAGGAAAATCAATTTTGAGAAAATTTCAGCAAAAGAGATTGATTTGCAAAATTGGTCACTTTGTATCAGATTGAATTTGAATTCAGTGAATTGGGCCAAAAGACTTAGTTTGGCAGGAATTTATGTCAGACAGAATCTGGAGTGAGCCAGTTCCACAGGATATGCAATTCCATTCATTGCTGATGGAAGTTTCTGAACAGAAGCAAGACAATGCCAGGTCAGCTGATAAGCTGATATTACCAACCGATCCCTCCTGGCCTGTCTTCCAGATATAATGGGTTGAATTTCACAAAGCACTGGAAATGGGCTTGGAGGAAGGAGCATTGGCAAATGGAACGCAAAAGCACCCTGGCGAGGTGTTTGTTTCCTTCCTACTGCCAGACCATTTCGCCAACAGTAGATAAGGTGCCAGATGGTCTGCTTGTCAAGAGTCACTTCCATTAAAAAAAGGTGTTAATTAAGTTAATAGAAGTTACTGGAAATAAAATGTACCATATGCAGCTTTTGAACAAGGGCCAGGAACCTAGTAAAAATATTGTAAAAAAAGTGCAGGGCCTCGAAGGATGACAAAAACCTGTGACAGAAGTCGGAATTGGATAGTTGAATCAGATGAATTCTTTAAAATAAAACAGTATCAGCAAATGATAAGACATTGTGTGGTCAAAATCTTATTTTGATTGAATATCCAGCTTTTTTTTAAAGGTGGCTTCAAACATTATGTACAAGTTTAAATTGGAATAGTTATTGTTGTAGCTATCTTTAATAGTCTTTCATAAAGTATTCATTCATATAATGTAATTAGAATTGATTATTACAGTAAATATTCATAAGCTATTAAAAAAATGTTGTTGTCCGATACTTACATGTTCACACGTCCATATATATCCGGAACTTCCTAAGTTAGGATTGTAAGTGCTGCTATTGGTAAGCTTTAGAAAGTTGTTTCAATTATAACATAATTACAAATATACTGTAACCTGAGATAATCTTGCAGGTTTGTAAATTCCTAAAGGGGAGGATAACTCATTACAGTGCCCAGTCTGTAGCTGATGAAACTAAGTTCCTTTCATGATTTGAAATTTTTCTTAGTTGAACTTTTAAGCTGACTGGAATTTTGACAAATTAGGTTTACATTGCCAGGGTCATAAAGAAGGCAAAATTATGAAAAATTATTGTTACTCAAGTGCATGTATCTTCTGATCAAGTCTCATTCATGGTTAGTTATTCACTACTTAACACGAGTAAACCGCATAGATGAGTATTCCAAGAAAAGTTTGTGGGAGCGTATATACCGCAAAAAAGATCCAAATTGATCAGGTAACAGCTGCGGACATTTCTTTAAACAAGGGCTGACCGTTACAAGGTGTTTTCAGCCATGGTTCAGTAATAGCTTTCTTGTCTCAGAGTCAACCAATGGCAGATTGAAACTTCACACTCGATACTCAAGAACAGAGTTCAGGCAGAGACTTCAGTGCAAACTGCAGAAGGCTGTGGAGACCAACTCATTGAGTGCATTTAAAACAGAGATAGATAGGTTCCCAATAAGTATGTGAACCAAGGGTTATGGGAAAGGCAGGAGAATGGGGTTGAGAAACCTATCAGCCATGATTGAAAGGTGGAGCAGACTCAATGGACAGAATGGCCTAATTGTGCTCCTATATCTGATGGTCTAAAGGAGTGCCACCCTGTTGGAAGTGTCACCTTGTCAGATGAGACTTTCAGCCAAGGCCCCCTCTGCCATCTTCAGCAGGTATATAAGATCAAGTAACACTATTCAAAGAGGAGGATTTATATCCATAGTAGCATCCAAAAATAAAATGATCTGATTGTCCATTTCATTGCTTTTTTTAGGAGCTTGCTCTTGGCAAATTAACTTAAGGTTTCCTACAACGCAACAATGATTATATTGCAAAAGTACATCTTTGGATTTGAAATGTCTTCATGTTGTGAAAAGTGCTTTGCAAAAGTGCATGCTCTTTCTTTTATTAGGTGATATTGTCAGATACCAGTGTCCCCCTGGATTCACACTTGTTGGCAGTGAGCTCATGACTTGCAGGCTATCAACACAATTGCAGTTTGAAGGGACACTTCCATCTTGTGAAGGTAAGGGATTATACGTAGAGATGTGATTTATTTATAAAATGAACTACAATCTGTACAACATGCAGAACGGATACATACGGCAGTGTGATACAGAGGGAAAATCCACAACATGGCCAGACCAGAATGCCCTCCCCTGTGGCAGGTTTGGAGGGGAGCTTTTGAGGGTGGGAGGGTGGTGGTTGGAGCCCCAGCCACCTTCTTGCCTCCATCCTGCTTAACTCTGTAGCGCAAACCCAATGGATAGTCCTCCCAACCTGCCACCAGTTGATGCCCTCAAGTGACCAATTAATTCCCACTTAATAGCCCCATTCTGTTGCTACTGTAATTGTCCCTTTGGCGGATGTGAGTCTTGTTGTACAGGAGACGTTATAAACAAACCCAAATGCGTTTGCTTTTAGACTCCCAGGACTGTTCTTTGTTAATTGCCTGACTGAGGTTCCTGGCATTGGCAAAGAGGTTGCCCACTATTAGCTACTTCACTGTCCTCGCTGCCAATTCCCCTCCATCCTCCATCCTCCATCCCTATGCCCACCCCCCCCAATACAATGCTGTCACTCAACTATGGTCTGGGATGCAATGACATTCCTCAGCCTTGAGTGGGTGTTTTGGGAACAGTGCCGCCACCTAATATACTGCTAGCCTTTCCCCAGAAACTGAAATGGGCAGGACTTATGCCCTGGGTTCCTTGTTCCCAGCGATGACCCATTGCTGGCCTATTAAGTGCCTGAGTGGTAGTAATGTATTGGGCCTTTCCTAAAAGAGGCTCAATGTAAAGCACTCATTGGTTTTCCAGTAGGGTGCCAAGACTTCCAACTTGGAAGTTGGAGAGCGCAAGGAATTGACGAGCAACATTTCTATTGGCAGGTGGCAGGGCTTCAGAACTGACAAGAGAATAGGCCATATTGGAAGTATTAACAAATAGCAAAGTGGCACTTGTGAACACTTTCATAGAAACAACACAAGTTGCAAATAGCAACAATATTAGATTGGAAAGGGAAATGTGAAAGTAACAATTTAAAGTTCTAAGCATAAGTGAGGCCATCTTTTTGAATGTAAGCTTTTTTAAAGAGGCATTGAGATTCAGTTGTATAGAGAATAGGTCACAACCCATCTGGTGCTCTGCATTTTCTTTTAGATCAGGAGTCTTTGGAGTCTCTTCCCCGGGGTATGGTGCGAGCAGAGTCATTGAATTTTTTTTTTAAGGCAGAAGTAGGTAGGTTATTGATGAACGAGTGAGTCAAAGATTATCGGGAGTATGTGAGCATAGGGAGCTGACACCACAATCAGGTCTGACATAATCTAGTCAAATGGCGGAGCAGGCCCGAGGGGCTAAAGGTCCTTATTCTGCTCTGGGTTCATATATTTGGATTTAATTACTGACACTCCAGTCTCAGAAAGTTCACTTTGAAAAGTTTACAGCGCAGAAACACCAGAAGGATACAAGAACTTAAAAACTTCAGTTAAGTAGCTGATTGCATGAAATTTCAATCTGTTTGAAGAAGGATTAGATAGACTTGGGTGTTTTCCTTCAAATCAGAAGAGACTGAGGGGAGACATGGTTAAGATGTATAAAATTATGAGGGGCATAGACAGGGTAGACAAAGAGAAACTTTTCCCTCGGTGGAGGACTTGTTTACCGGGGCATAGATTTCAGATAAGGGCCAGAAGTTTTAGAGGAGATGTGAGGAATTTTTTTTTAACCCAGAAGGTTGTGGAATCTGGAACTAACTACCTGTAAAGGTGATTCAGGCAGAAACCTTCATAATATTTAAGAAGTGTTTTGATGTGCACTTATGATGCCAAGGCAAATGAAGCTATGGGCCAAATGCTGGAAATGGAATTAGAACAGTTAGGAGCCAAAGAACGTTTTCCCTGTGCTATGGCAAGATATACAGAAGAAATATTCTTCAGTGGGGACTTCTTGCATAAGACAGCATAACCTTAAAATTTGATCTGAGCCATTTAGGAAGCACTTTTTCGACATTAAGGAAAAGAGTTCAGCCCTTTTGATCCTCAAACGGTGTGCAGTGTTAAGTGAAACTTTCAGAACATTATTCCTGAAACAAGTGAAACTCGTACAGGTAAACATTATGGATGTGACCTTCTGAGGTTATATTTTGCTGTCCAGAGATCGAGTAATAACCAGACCACCATTTATAATTTAATATTTCAGCACAGTGTCCTGCAAATGAAATTCGCAGAGCCTCATCAGGAGTCATATTAAGCCCAGGATATCCAGAAAATTACCCGAATCTCCAAACTTGTTCCTGGACAATTCGAGTGGAACCCCTGTACAATATTACTGTTTTCGTGGAGATGTTTCAAAGTGAAAAACAGTTCGATGAGCTGAGTATATTTGATGGTAAGGTGCTGTAAGAACTAAGCAATATTTATCAACTGTTATTTGAATGAAATGTAATTCTTGTTTAGTGTAACTTACAATGAACCATAACTCGATGGCCCAGAGGGCAGGCTTTGGAGGTCCTGGCCAAGAAATTAAATACTGCTGTGCTCATTTTGACTTGGAAAATGGAGCCAAAGGAGTTCAGTTTGGTCAGAGTGCAGTTTTTAAGCCTTGAGTAGGAGAATGTATGTCAAAGTCTGCAACTAGATCAGGTATTAGGCTCTATACAAATGCAATTAAGGAGCAGAACATCTGCTTGTTGTCTCCTAAACAGAATTGGTTTTCCCTGAAATTTAGTCTTCATGTAAACTCACTCGTGGTCCTATGTGGCTGCCAAAAAGTTAAATTTTGTAAGATGTACTTAGCAGAACATGACACGGCAATTCTCTTCCTGACACCACTCCAGGCTCCCTGGTCTCCAATCTTACCCATTCCACTTGTCACCCTCCAACTTCTGACCCTCCCCATGGTTATTGCTCCCAACTTTGACACTTATCTGAAGATCACTGGTAGTGACCCAGACACTCAATCCTCCACCTGAGATCAGCCCTTACATGCCAAGCAGGTATCAAGTTGACAATTAACCAGACAGCATGTAACTGAGCTGTGGGGCCTTGAGGCCCATCATAAATCATTTGCTGTATCGAGTTTGCAGGAGCAGGCCAATACAAATTGGCCCCTGAATGCCAAGGAAATCATTTTGGCTTGGTTTCTCGGACTGTCTTTTGAATAGATATACTTACTGTTCTGTTCTCATCAAGGATGGAGCATTGCTCCATTAAAAGGCACTCATTTTGTGGGAGAAAGGAGGATCCAAACTGCTGGCAGATCATATGTTAACTGATCAGAGTGTAATAGTGAAGAAACTCACTGCTAAAAATGTAGGTAGGCTGTATTTAGCTTTGAGGCAGCTCTATCAAGGGAATGAAGGAGAAAACATTGAGATTGAAGACTATTTGTAGGTCAGCACTATTCCTGTCAAATCGTTCAAAAAATGAAATGTTTTTGCATGTTCTTTTATGCCTGGAATGGCAAAACATAAGAAAACTGAATAGTTTTATAGAGTCAGATAATTTATCTTTGAAACAACGACAGAGTATGTTAGAAATACTCTGAATGTCTGGCAGCATCTGTGTAGGGTGAAGCAGTGTTGATGTTTCAGATTATGGTCTTGTGCCAGAAGACGACCAGATCTTCTGAAAAAGTGTACAAATGTAACTGATGTGCATTACAGTTACGAAAACAACAACACTTTCTGACATCAAAAATTTTACCTTTTAATTAGTCTAGTAGAAGCTTTGAAATGGGGACTTGGCTAGTTTTCAGAATCTTTAGGATTTCTGTGTGGTGGACCAAACATTTACTGAGTGTTCAATGATAGTTGTTTCATGCTTAACAGGGCCCACAGGTCAAAATCGACTGCTAGTTGCTCTAAGTGGAAATCACACTGGACAAAGAAATTTTACAAGTACAGGAAGACACTTGTATTTACGTTGGTCAACAGATCATGCAACAAGCAAAAGGGGATTCAAAATCCGGTATACAGGTATGGAAATTCTAACTTCTTGCTTTATATTTTTAATTTTTAGGTTTTAAGATCTCATTGATATGTGTATAACTCGGTAGTAATTGTGATTATATTTTAAAATTTCTAAAATTTGTCCAGTATATGGCTATGAACTGTTTTGCTCCGCTTGTACGCTGTGAGGATGTTATAAAATTGAAATATCTTTTTGTTCAAGTGCATTCTTTTCTCTCTCTCTCCTCCAACTGAGTTGCATTTTCTTTGGTTTGCATTTTCAACTGGAGTATATTACACTCAAATTCAATACTATCATGCCTAAATGTGTGACCACAATTCACACACTTTCTGACGCAATCGCAATAAGAATCCAGAATCCAACTAGATTTCTTCCTTTCCCACACCTGGTACACTGAGGTTAATTCTTGAGATCAACCCAACTCTGAACATCTGCACATGGAACACAAGTAGATCATTGGGCCCTTTGAGCCTGCCGCACCATTCACTCACACACATGCACTCACATATATGCATGCACTGATATGCAATCACACATACACTCTGATACCTGCAAACGTGTGCGCGCACGCGCGCACACACACACACACACACGCCGTCTGTCTCTGTCTCTGTCTCTCTCTCTCTGTCTGTCTCTCTCCAGATGTAGATTCAATCTTTCAATTCTCCTACTTCTATGTTTACTAGTACATGGAATTGGGAGTAATGTTGAGATTACTGCTTTCGAGATCTTGCTTTTCAATGTCCTTCCCAGCTCCTACAAATCTACTTTCAGGATTTTGTCCCCTTTCCTACGTAGGTCATTTGTACGAAAGTTGATCACGATCTCTGGCAGCTCGCCCTCTCTCAGAAGAATGTCCAAAACTTTGTGATTCTCTTTGACCCTGGCACCAGGGGGTTTTAACTTTTCTATAGCTCCCTGTCCTACACATCATCAGAATTTATCATATTTCAAGGCTGCAAATAATTACAACTGCTGGTACCTTTGGCATTATCTTGATTTCTATTTTTCTAATACAGAGCATGAATTTCTTCCTAACATTATGGAATGTTTGCATCCATAAGTAGGTCAGCCACATTCTCCTCATATCTTTCAAGATGTTTGGAAAGTGTACACATTTCATCAAAATCTCTGCTTCCTTTACTTTGTTTCTTCATTAATAGTATTCAGTAATTGGAAATCTCATGGACTGGGATCTTGTAGAGATAATAATGGTCTCAGCTCCCAGTTGCTGAGCTACTGAAACCACCACTCCATCCTGTTTTCAGTTGTTCTATGGCATCTTATGGCACTTAGAGCCATGGAGTCATATAGGATGGAAACATACCCTTCAGACCAACTTGTCCATGTCGACCAGGTTCCCTAAGCTGAACTAGTCCCACTTGCCTGTGTTTGGACCATATCCCTCTAAATATTTCCTGTCCTTGTACCTGTCCAAATATCTCTTAATTGTTGTAATTCTACCCACCTCTATCACTTCCTCTGGCAACTCATTCCACATTCATACCACCCTCTGTGTGAAAACGTAACACCTCACGTCTCTATAAAACTTTCCCCTCTCACCTTAAACCTATGCACTCCCTTCCTCTGGGGAAACAACTTTGGCTATCTACCTTATCTATGCCCCTCACAATTTTATAAACCTCAATCAGGTTACCCTTCAGCCTCCTACACTACAGGGGAAAAAAGGTCCTAGCCTATCCAACCTCTCCTGGTAACTCAAACCCTCCAGTCTCAGTCACATCCTTGTAAACCCTTTTTTGCACCCTTTCCAGTTTAATAACATCCTTCCTATAGCAGGGTGACCAGAATTGTATGCAGTACTCCAAATGTGGCCTTACCAATGTCTTATAAAGCTGTAACATGACGTCCCAACTCCTGTACTCAATACTCTGACTTCACTATCCTGCCTACCTGTGAACCCAATTTCAAGGAACAATGTACCTGCATCCCTTGGTCTCACTTTTTGACAACACTCCCCAGGGCCCTAACATTAACTGTGTAAGTCCTGCCCTGGTTTGTTTTACCAAAATGCAACACGTCACATTTATTTGAATTAAACTCCATCTGACATTCCTCAGTCCGCTGGCTCAGTTGATTAAGATCCTGTTGTACTCTTAGATAACCTTCTTCACTGTCCACTATACCACCAATTCTGGTGTCATCCGTAAACCTGTGAACCATGCCTCCTACATTCGCATCCAATTTGTTTATATAAATGATGAACAACAGTGGACCCAGCACCAATCCTTGCAACACACCACTGGTCATAGGCCTCCAATCTGAATAACAACCCTCTACCACCACCGTCTGTTTCCTACCATCAAATCAATTTTGTATCCAATTGGCTAGCTCTCCCTGGATCCCATGAGATATAGCCTTACTAACCAGACTACCAAGCAGAAGCTTGTCAAAGGTTTACTCAGGTAACAGGTCCTTGGTAGACGTTCCTGTAGGATCAAGGACACACCCAGGCCTTCAAATTGTGAGGAACCCAGGTCTGGGTGATAGTAGGAGAGGGGTTGGAGGGGTGGGGAGCAAGGGAATTGGTAAGGGCAGGTCATGGCCTTCAGCATGTCTTCCTGCCTTCATTCAGGCACTGGGATGGGAGACCATGAGAAACCACATAGCAGTTTGCTTATCATGCTACCAGCAAGACAAGTTCCCTGTTCAACATTTGGTTAAGGACATAAGAACATAAGAACCGGGAGTAGGCCATCTGGCCCTTCAAGCCTGCTCCACCATTCAAAAAGATCATGGCTGATCTTTTCATGGCCTCAGTTCTACTTACCCACCCTCTCACCATGACCCTTAATTCCTTTACTATTCAAACAATTATCTCTCTTAGCTTTAAAAACATTCAATGAGGAAGCCTCAACCACTTCACTGGGCAGGGAATTCCACAGATTCACAACCCTTTGGGTGAAGAAGTTCCTGCTCAATTCAGATCTAAATCTGGTTTCTCTAACTTTGAGGCTACGCCCTCTTGTTCTACTTCCATCCACCAGTGGAAACGTCCTCCCTGCTGCTATTTTATTCATACCCTTCATAATTTTGTATGTTTCTATAAGATCCTCCCTCATTCTTCGAATTTCCGATGAATATATTCTCAGTCTATTCAGTGTGTCCTCGTAAGCCAACCCTCTTAACTCTGGAATCAACCTAGTGAATCTCCTCTGCACCCTATCCAGTGCCAGTACATCCCTTCTCAAGTAAGGAGACCAAAACTGCACACAGTACTCTGGCTGCAGCCTCACCAGGACCCTATACAGCTGTAACATAACCCCCCTGCTTTTAAATTCAATCCCTCTGACAATGAAGGACAAAATTCTGTTTGCCTTCTTAATTACCTGTTGTACCTGCAAACCAACCTTCTGCGACTCATGCACCCAGGTCCCTCTGCACAGCAGCATGTTGCAATTTTTTACCATTCAAGTAATAGTCCCTTTTACTGCTATTCCTACCAAAATGGATGACTTCACATTTATCAACGTTGAATTCCATCTGCCAGACCTTCGCCCACTCACTTAAACTATCTGTATCCCTCTGCAAACCTTCAGAGCCCTCTGCACACTTTGCTCTACAATTCATCTTAGTGTCATCCACAAACTTTGACACACTACACTTGGTCCGCAACCCCAAATCATCTGTGTAAATTGTAAACAATTGCAGTGCCAGCTCTGATCCCTGAGGCACACCACCAGTCACTGTTCGCCAACCAGAAAAATACTCATTTATCCCCAATATTTGCTTCCTGTTAGTTAACCAATCCTCTACCCATGACAATACATTTCTTGTAATGCCATGTACCTTTATCTTACGCAGCAGTCTTTTATGCGACACCTTGTCAAATGCATTTTGGAAATGCAGATACACCACATCAACTGGATCCCCATTGTCCACCACACTCGTAATGTCTTCATAGAATTCCAACAAATTAGTCAAACATGACCTGCCTTTCATGTACCCATGCTGCATCCACCTAATAGGGCAGTTTCTATCTAGCGGACTTGCTATTTCTTCCTTGATGATAGATTCAAGCATTTTCGCCATTACAGAAGTTAAGCTAAACAGCCTATAATTCCCCATCTTTTGTCTACCTCCTTTTTTTAAACAGTGGCATCACGTTGGCTGTTTTCCAATCTGCTGGAACTGCCCCAGAGTCCATCGAATTTTGGAAAATTATCATGAGTGCATTTGCTATTACTCCCACCATCACTTTTATTACGGCCAGGAGACTTGTCTATCTTTAGCTCCATTAGCTTACCCAACGCTACCTCTTTCATGTCTAGGTCGTCACCTACCTTATGTCTCTTTGAAATCAATTATTGGCAAGTTATTTTTGTCTTCCATGTCAATACTGACACAAAATACTCGTTTAATGCATCAGTTATTTCCTCATTTCCCATTATTAAAACTCCCTTCTCATCCTCTAAAGGACCAATGTCTACCTTAGCCACTCTTTTTCGTTTTATATATTTATAGAAATTTTTGCTGTTTGTCTTTATATTCTGAGCTAGTTTCATCTCATAATCTATCTTACTTTTCTTTATAGCCTGTTTTGTGCCTTTCTGTTGACCTTTAAAGTTTTCCCAATTTTCTAGTTTCCCACTGGTCTTTGCTGCTTTGTATGTCTTATCTTTCAGTTTGATAGCCTCCCTTATTTCCTTAGACATCCATGGCTGATTACCCCTTTTCCTACAGTCCTTCCTTTTCTTTTTAAAAGCAACAATGGAGGACAAGTGCCTTAATTGGACATTAATTTCTCACTTAAGGGCCTAGTTAATATTGGGGCAGGAAGATGATCAATGGCTCTTCCTGCCTTGGACTTAATCGTGTGGAGGTGGAGTGGTGGCTACATTCCCACCAACTACACTCTGCCATTTAAATAGGCTCATATCACCTCACTCACCATGGGGACGAGTGCAGGATTCTGCCCGTGTTGTCTGTTGCCTTAAAAGACACCCAGTTTTACACTTCAAGATATGTATTTTCTCAGATGTGT